ATTGTATGTAAATAGCCTAGCACTTAGCCTTTTGTTCTATACCATGTATATATATCTAGATTATAGGAATGTTTATCATTAAATACTGTCTGATGAGTGCGTAGCACGAAACTCGGAGTTACAGCAAAATCTTGCCTCTTTGATATCATATATATAACTAGCTCTACACTTTATGTGTATTGAGCACTCTTTAATGGGATCAGCCACTTCCTCATAGACATACGATTAAACATAGAATTGATATAGGAGGGGGACATTGGGGGGCTCTGAATACCGCAATACCGCAAAAAAAAATTCAAAAATCCCGCATTACCGCATGAAAAAATCGATTAGAAAAATTAGATCTGCAAGCATTTTTCTCGCAATACCGACATTTTAAGCGATTTTTCCAGTAATACCGCATCTTAAAACTTCAAATACCGCATATCGCACAAAATACAAATCCCGCATTATCGCATTTATTTTGCCAAATTACCGCAATATCGCATGAAAAAACGGTCAATCCCGCAATCCCGCAAACCCCAATGTCCCCCCCATATAGGTACATCAGAGCCAAATTGATGCATATGGAAGTCATACGACAACCCTACTCCACATCCCAATGTGCTTCCTTTGTGTCTTTCAACTCTTTCAGGAGGAGCCGACGGCATGCGACGGGGTCTGTTCTTCTAAATAACTGTTCTTGTACGATTTTTTTCATGGGAAAGGGATTTTGAGCTACATTGTTGACAATCTCACTTTGCCGCTCATGGAAGTGCGCGAAATGGAGAGATCTTACTGGCTCCTTCTGAACCCCGGTCAGCGGATGCTCCATCGGAGGTGGAAGAATACATGTTGACAATGAAGGAAGCACAAGAAAGTGGAGTTCGTGCTCAACTTGTTGTACTCGGCTGCTGCCACAGTGGTCACGGAGACATCAAGTCAGAGTGCAGGAGCCCGTGCCGTTGTAGCGTCATTGTGGGCCATTGATGACCAAGCCACAAAGCTCTTTATGTTGAAATTCTATTCACATCTAAAGATGGAGAGAGTGCCAGTAGGAGTCTTCAACAGGCAATGAAAGAGATGAGAGAAACAGAGAAATACAAGAAAGCCGAGTACTGGGCTGCCTTCTTTCTAATTGGTGATGAAGTTACTATAAGCTAATATGACGTAGTGAGCGCAAATCAATCCGTGAAATTGTACTGTCTAAACACCATAAATTTGTACTAAATCTGCAGCTGAACTGGAAAGTTTTTTGATCACCATTATTCTTAATGAGCACTATCAACTCATTTGAAAAAAAAAACCCTAAAAAAATGAAAAATGATACAGAGAAGCTAACTAAATGTCACGGTTTAAGTGCTTTCACTCTTACTTTGATTTGATTTCAAGAAGACATTATACAAGATTACACTTTAACTCATTTTGCTAGTTTGCACTCGGCTTTTCCTCTACTCCCTCCATGTTAGCATATGGAGGACAGATAGCCCAAAAAATAAACATGACCGTAAAAATATGAGACTATCAGTAAAGAACTAGCATTTCAAAACTCACTAGTACACTTAACAGNTTGACAATCTCACTTTGCCGCTCATGGAAGTGCGCGAAATGGAGAGATCTTACTGGCTCCTTCTGAACCCCGGTCAGCGGATGCTCCATCGGAGGTGGAAGAATACATGTTGACAATGAAGGAAGCACAAGAAAGTGGAGTTCGTGCTCAACTTGTTGTACTCGGCTGCTGCCACAGTGGTCACGGAGACATCAAGTCAGAGTGCAGGAGCCCGTGCCGTTGTAGCGTCATTGTGGGCCATTGATGACCAAGCCACAAAGCTCTTTATGTTGAAATTCTATTCACATCTAAAGATGGAGAGAGTGCCAGTAGGAGTCTTCAACAGGCAATGAAAGAGATGAGAGAAACAGAGAAATACAAGAAAGCCGAGTACTGGGCTGCCTTCTTTCTAATTGGTGATGAAGTTACTATAAGCTAATATGACGTAGTGAGCGCAAATCAATCCGTGAAATTGTACTGTCTAAACACCATAAATTTGTACTAAATCTGCAGCTGAACTGGAAAGTTTTTTGATCACCATTATTCTTAATGAGCACTATCAACTCATTTGAAAAAAAAAACCCTAAAAAAATGAAAAATGATACAGAGAAGCTAACTAAATGTCACGGTTTAAGTGCTTTCACTCTTACTTTGATTTGATTTCAAGAAGACATTATACAAGATTACACTTTAACTCATTTTGCTAGTTTGCACTCGGCTTTTCCTCTACTCCCTCCATGTTAGCATATGGAGGACAGATAGCCCAAAAAATAAACATGACCGTAAAAATATGAGACTATCAGTAAAGAACTAGCATTTCAAAACTCACTAGTACACTTAACAGTTAGCACTCGTTAGCACATTGATAAATTAACTATATGTTCATAGGTAGAGTGAAAGTACTAAAAGCGTGAAAAGGTAATGTAGTGGTTTTAATTAACCCATGAAACAAAGAGTATAATAGTGAAAGCGATACACAGAAAACAACAAAGAAAAAATAAAGAGTAACTAAAACGAGGTACGAATATTAGACATTTAATAAATAACRTCGTTATACAATTGCCTTTTAAAATACCTATTAACTAACGTAACAACCAAAAGTGCAAATGAACTCATTTTTTTTTCAAAATTTGAGGAAAATCACCATGGAAAAATAARATATTTTTGGTGACTTCATCGAACCGGTTAAAACTTCGTTTTTTGTGAAACGTCAAAGTTATGAAACTTTTGATAATTACAAAATGATCGAGAACCATAGGGGCCTGAGTCGAGCCTAGTGTGACGTCCACTAAGACATCACACTCGCACCAGGCCACTAATTTCAAAGAGAGTGCATTTTCCGAATTGGCAGGAAATTTCTGAATTGGCGGGAAATTCAAATTAACGTTGAATATCGGGAATTTATCCAATTCAAAATCTTCTTGCGGCAGGTTACTATCTTAATATTTGAAAAATGGAGTTCATTTGCTCTAATAATAAAGACTAGAGCGGATTTCGTATGAGTGGGAAACGGACGGTACTGTACTGTGACCGTAATCGTACTGTAACCAAATTCTAGTGCCTCATTGTTTCACCAAAATTCTGCAGGCCAGGTGCGGTAACTGTGCGGTAACCGTGCGGTAACGGTGTCCCACTCATACGAAATCCGCTCTAATTATAAATATTAACACTAGAAGTGGTACCAGGGACGGATCCAGAACGTTTCAAAAGGGGACGCTAATTCAAGAAAAATATTCGATGGATAGCTTTAGGACAGAGGGAAATTGTTTCTATCTTATGAGCGCTGCTATTTTTGGTTTTCAGAATGAGTCCCATTCAGAATAAATTTCTCCGTTAATTTATTTCTGTGATAATTTCTATAACTTAGAACTTTAGAACTCTAATAAAGGAGGTAGCTAGCCACTCTAATCATTTCCCTTCCAACCCCCTCCCCCCCCTTGGATCCGCCCTACAAGTTTCTAATGGGTAAAGGATGGGCCTCGGTATTAAATACATACTTATCTAATGGTACAACATTTATATCACTGAACAGCAAAAACAAATACTTCAAAGTCTCTCCCAGGAAGAAGCTTTCCATTTTATCCCTAAAGCCGTGTGACTTATCTTTGACGCTATTTAAAGAAGAATAGCCACCTTGTGGCAAGCGAGTGTGCTCTTCAAATGCCTGGAATATCTTCCAACCATATTCCTGGTACTTTTTGTCCCTGGTCAGTTGGTACATAACGTACAGTGACTCGACAGTTTCTGGCCGAAGAAGGTTGTGTGCATCCAAAGGCTGGTAAAAGCGAAGGAAAAAAAAAAAGTAGAATGGTTAGAAAAGAAAGTAAAAGATAGCACACTAGTGCAAATGGGAGATAATGTCGCTCAACATTTGTGAGTAAACAAAGTTTTATGGCTAAGATAATCCAGCCACAATAGACCGAATCGGCTAACGCGTTGACTRCGTTGCTATAAACGTTTTAACCCAACCATCAGGGAGAAATTTTCATTGTTCCTTGTATTTTCATTTCACAGTTGAATTCTTAATAACAAAAGTTTTTTCCCCAGATTATTTGAATTGGGCGGTAACGTACATAGCAACGCGTTAGCCGATTAGGTATATCCCTCTGAAACACATATGTTAAGAATATAGGTGTAAGTCTAAGATTCGAAATCTTCGCTCTGGGCAGAAAAATAGTAGTCGATTAGTGGGTGGACACATTATAACCAGCAAACATTTCACCAATGAAAGAATATTTTCTAAAATATACTTTAGTTCCAAATCGTACAGGTAACACTGGTCAAGTTGAAATTTGACTTGTGGGCCGTTTATTCTTCGTTTTCACTATACGTCACAGTAGCCATCTTGGAGAAAGGAAAGGAGTTCTTATTAATCTATTATTCATTCCTCCAACTTGGCCGACGGTCTTTTATCTTTTGAATCCCATGGGAATGATTGAAAACGATCGATTATTTAGAATTCGGATTCGCCTGACAGCTAACCCTCATTGTCATATGCTTTGAACACTTCATATTTCCTTGTATTATTAATAAAACACAGGTAAGGGCTGTATTATCAACCCACACTGATGACCATACCTTTACAATAATGTCCTCAGAACCTCCATGATTCTGGTTAAAGTATACAATTTCAGGACTCAAACGTAGGGGCATGCGCTCATACATCTGGTAGCAAGTCTCCAGCATGTCCTTAGCAAAGGTCATATACTTTTCTCCCAGTCCATTATGAGCAGCAAGAGCCATTGAACCAGGTAAAAAGCACACTAGATGATCCTATAGAAAGAAAGTTAATCATCATCTAAATTCATATTCAAAACGGCTGAAGTGTTGCCATTTAGTACGTTAGCACCCAATTCAAATGAGTTCAAATCCTGTGGGAAAAATAGCTTTTTTGCTAATGTGAAATGAATATACAACGAACAATGATACTTTCTCCAGGGTAGTTTGAATTGGGTGAAAAGGTTTATAGCAACGCGTGAACCGATTAGGTCTATTGGCAGAGAATTTGTGCACCTTTAGGACCGAGGGTACAGTGCAAATCGAAAAGCAGTGACCACCCAGGAATATTTCGGAAATGTGACCTCGACGTTGTTCAGTTGCAAATACATAAAGACAACAACAAATTCAAAATTCATTTACAAAAAAATGCTTCCCCCCGGATTTTGATTTAAAACTCAAGATCATCCAAGTTTACATGTTACGTTTGTAAATTATTGTCCGTATTATCCAAAAAAAAAGTTTACATGTTATTGTCATATCGCTTTGGAGCTTGAGGTCGAATAATCTTGAAAAAAATACAAATATTATATATGCAAATGACTCTTTTAATGAACAACGCTAGAGGAATAGGCGATATGCATTATGGCGTCATTTACTACAACTACCAGAATGCTTTGCCAACTTTCTTTTGCAATGCAATTAGTGCCAATTGTTTTATTAATCTCCAAGGGGGATTAAAAATCTGAATAACAATGAAAATGCGCAAGGCTCTCTGGTAGTTGCAGTAAAGTTATGTCATAATGCAAACGGCCTATTGACTGTATCTAATAAGATGAAGAGGTTACCATCTTAGGACTGAATGAAGTTCCATGAAGCAATTCTCCCACATAAAGCAGTTTATTAGGTTCAGATCTTCGTGACAGCAAAGAAATGACACCATCCATTGAAGCAATCAAATCATCCTTCAACCTGTAAAAATAAATG